TAACCCTAGACTCCTAAACCCTAAACGAAACCCTAAACCCAAACCCTAAACTCCCAAACCCCCACAGCACCTGAAGGCTCTGGCTGATAAGCCCTGGTCTGCTCCCCGGCGATCAAGCCATCCGCCAGAAGGACGTGCTGCGAGTTCAAGGGCAGCTGCCTTAGTTCAAAGGCAACTGCCTTGGTTTCAAGGGCAGCTGCCTTAGTTTGGGGTTTAGGGTTTAGGGTTTAGGGTGCTGAAGGGAAAGGTCCGGATCCAGTGCCTTATACAAACTCTATAAGGTTTGATATAGGGGCCTTAATAATTAGAACAGGGCTTGGGGTATATTATACTATAAATAGAATAAGGAAGCCTCAAAGCCCTATTCTAATTATTAAGGCCCCTACATTAGTCCTGCAGGGATTCTACACACGAGCTCTGCTGCCAACACTGCAATCTCAACACCAAGCTCCTAGCGTCCCAAACCCTGCTCCGCAAAAAACCTGCCAGAACGCCTGAACCGCAAGCACCGATAAACCGCGCAACCGTATAAGAACCCTAAACACCTAAACCCAACACCCGTGCGACTCTGACCCCAACAGCCTGGGGAATTTGGGAGGGTGTGAGGGTCTGTGGCTTCAAGCCTTAAGCCGTAAGCCCTAAACCCTAAACACTAAACCCTAAACCCTAGACTCTAATCGAGGGTTTGGAGGTTTTGGGGCTTGGGGCTTCAAGGGGGGGAGGCCGCCAAGATCCCAAACAAGACAAGCGGCCACCATGCCTGGGACGACCGGCAGAAAGGGTGAGTGGGTGGGGGGTTTCGGGTTTAGGGTTTAGGGTGGCTCATGTTTTGAAATTCTCATGCCCTGATTTCTGGGGTAGGTCAGGACAACACAATGCGTCAGGCCCGTCTGAATGCCCACAGCTCGTCCGTTGGGATCCAGTGGGGAGTGTCCGCCTACTTGGAGGTTCATGGGTAGTTCTAAGTGGGGTTATAAGTCCCCTAATAGGAGTTGCTATCATCGTTACCCCTACTTACAACCCCACTTATAACTGCCCCTACACCCAAAACCCCATAGAACCCTTTAAAGGGACCTTTAAAGGAACCCCATAACCCCACTTATAACTGCCCATGAACCTCCAAGTACAACTACAAACCCTCACATCCTAAGCCCCAGAGCCCGGGCTTGGCAAGAGCCAGGATCCTGGGCATGTTTATGTCAAGGCGACATTAGGGTTTAGGGTTTAGGGTTTAGGAACTAGGGCTTAGGGTTTAGGGTTTAGGGCTGAGGGTTTAGGGTTTAGGGTTGAGCTCAAGAAAGGCGTTTAGACCAGATTTGCCCTCGAGTTTCCATGGCTCCTGGGGCTTAGGGTGCAGAAGGTCAGCCTCTGCGGTTTATGGGTTCAGTGGTCAGGCCCCAGGATTTGAAAGCTCCCTTCAAACCTAAACCCCAACTCCCAAACCCTAAAACCCTAAAACTCTAAACCCGAACCCTGCAAACCCTAAAACCAAAACCCGGGTTTGCGGCCTTGGAATATTATATATACGGATTTCCGTATTTCGGGTTGAGGGTTTTAGGCCTAAGCCTTAAGCCAAACCCCTCGAACCCCATGTACCTTGTCAAAAAACCAGCTAGCGGGAGCTCCACGAAACAAAGGGACGCTGATTGTCAAGTGTAGGATCCTTACTACAAGGAACAACGAAACTAGTGACTAAACCTAGCCCCCAAACCCTAAACCCTAAACCCTGAACCCTAAACCCTGAACCCTAAACCCTAAACCCCAAACCTTAGCTTTAAGAAACATCGTAGAGGCCCAAGAAGAACCCCCAAGACCCTATGCAGGGACCCCAAAGTCTTGAGAAGCCTCAAGAAAGTGCAGAAAAGTGGCCTTGCCACTGGCTGCTTCGGGTTTCCTGGACCTGGCTCAGGTTTGTTAGGGCTCAGGGTTTAAGGTTTCAA